CCCTCCCCCGCATTGCGGTGTCTGGCGGCACTGTAGTTCCGCCCCTGCGTCTTTGAAGTTGTCTATATGTCTGGCGGTCTCTCGAGCTATAGTCTGTACATTTTTTTTTTCAAAGACGTTTGCCGACTATCGTGTTTTTTTGTAACTGTAGAAGAAAGATAACTCGACCTCCACCTAATTTTTAAAAAAAAAAAATTTAATTTTTTTTTTGTTTTAATTTTTTTTTTTACATTTTTTTTTAAAAAATAATTTAGCCAGGATTTTTGGGCCCCCAATCGGTCTGCCCCCCTCCCCCGCATTGCGGTGTCTGGCGGCACTGTAGTTCCGCCCCTGCGTCTTTGAAGTTGTCTATATGTCTGGCGGTCTCTCGAGCTATAGTCTGTACATTTTTTTTCAAAGACGTTTGCCGACTATCGTGTTTTTTTGTAACTGTAGAAGAAAGATAACTCGACCTCCACCTATTTTTTTTTTTTTTTTTTTTTTTTTTTAAATTTTTTATTTTAAATTTTTTTTTTAAATAATTTAGCCGGGATTTTTGGGCCCCCATTCGGTCTGGGCCCCCCCGCATTGCGGGGTCTGGCGGCACTGTAGTTCCGCCCCTGATCCCACTCCCCTTTTGAAATACAGCCGAACCTCTCTGTAATCTCAACTTATTGAATATTTCCACCGACACTACACTCAATCAATTTTATCGGAGTCTTTACCAGCCTCTTACTTAACGGGGAGTGGGGAGGGGGATGGGGGGTAAGAAATGTACTGTTACCAAATATATTTGCATATGACAAAAATGAAACATTTCTCGCCAAAACTAGACTAGCAATGTACTACAATAGGATGCTCTGAGTAGAAAAAAAAAGTTTCTCATATCTAATCTAAACTAGTCGGGGTAGTAATTTGAGCAGGCAGGTCTATCTTCATCAATCTCAAAATAAATTGGATGGGGATGGGTGGGGGGGGGGGGGGGGGTTCAATGTCGCAGACGATAAGACCTGGTTTATTTTTCAACTTCCTGTTAACTTCTAAGTAGGTCAGCAGTCAGTAGATGTAACAAAATATTATTCTTCGGGAAATTGAAAGTTTGTGTGATTTTTTTTCTCTCTTTTTAGAAAAAAAAAAAGATTGATTTTTTTTCTGAGTCAAAGAAAAGATAAGTCTAGATAGCGCAAATGGTGAAGTTTCTTTCTGGGTGAAGTTTCTTTCTGGGTGAAGTTTCTTTCTGGGTGAAGTTTCTTTCTGGGTGAAGTTTCTTTCTGGGTGAAGTTTCTTTCTGGGTGAAGTTTCTTTCTGGGTGAAGTTTCTTTCTGGGTGAAGTTTCTTTCTGGGTGAAGTTTCTTTCTGGGTGAAGTTTCTTTCTGGGTGAAGTTTCTTTCTGGGTGAAGTTTCTTTCTGGGTGAAGTTTCTTTCTGGGTGAAGTTTCTTTCTGGGTGAATTTTAAATTATGGAACCTGTCACTCAGATTCAGGATTTAATTGTTTGATTGTGCGTGATTGGGATTTGTGAATGAATGAATGATTTTGAGCATTTTCCTACAGTCAGTGAATTAGTTTTATGAAATCTGTAATGCAAAAAGATGCAAATTGTAGTATTCAAAGGGAAAAAATGTTATGGGCTATTCTATACTATACTACAATTACAATTTTACTGTTTGGTGTCGTCAGTATCTAGTCATGCTCGTGTCCAAGACACGTAAAGTAGAGTTGATCTGTTTCAATGACATCGGCGTGTTGGTTGGGGGTGGGGGTGGGGGGGGGGGGGTCAGCACTAGGCCCAGCCGCCTTGGTTTTCTTAAAGTAAGACAAACAACCATCAGAGCTGAGTTGACTTAAGGACGCCTTGCAGACTCCAGTCCGAGATATGAACTCGAGTACTTCAAGTTAACAATCATAAGCATATGTTTGGTGTGCAGTGTAATGATGGACACGCCAAAGCTAGACTGACAAGACATGCTTCACTTCATCGCGCCCACACAAGTGACGCAATAGGTTATTGTTGATAGCTTCAGATAAAACAGATCAGTGTGAAGAACAAATTCCCATCTTTCCTCATATATCCCCCAACCCACCTCTAATCACAGACCTGCGGCATCCAATTTGAAATGAGAAACACACAAAAAGAAAAAGGCGAAACGTGTATATAAAAAAATACGGTGATCACCGGCAGCCATTTTGTTTTTAGCCTCGTCTCCCGGGACGCTGGCACAACACTCCCACGTGATCTATTGCATTATGGGAGGGGCTGGGGGGATGGGAGGGGGGAATCAAACACCAAAGTCGAATCAGATAAGACAATTTAAATGCCTTTGTATGACAAAAATATTCAACAAGCTTTCTGGCATACTTAATAACAGCGCACATAAGGCAAACATACACAGTTAAACAAGCTGTATATTACTATATAACATTAAAAGCGCACAGCCAGATGTATATTACTATATAACATTAACAGGCACATAGGGTAAACATACACAGTTAAACCATATGTACACCACTCCACACACATACTCACAAAACACAGAGAGGCGAGATCCGCGTACATCAGCACTACTAATTAAATGGCTGTTTACTTTAGGCCTATAGAAGTCTCCGACCACTGAATTAGAACATAAGGCCCTATAGTCCTTCGACTGTCATTCAAGTATTTATCTTGCGCGTGTGAAAACTTAAAATTCACACCAACATGCAGCAAACATAAATATCCATGAGATAACTTTAATGTCGTCGTTATGGGTAAGACGGTAAAGCCTGTTGGAACTTATTTGATGTACAGACGCAAAAAGAAAACAGAGAATTTTAAACCACCTTATGTAGGAAAATATAACAAATATACAGAGGATGAACTAGCACGACATACGCTTCAAAATACCACACCTCCATCCTCTAATGTGTCATCCATTTATAAGGTCCACAAAACGTTAGATTTCCATAGGCGTCCCTTTTTGAAGAACACTATCCCTAGCCTCAACACCCGATGTAAACGTTCACTAAAAGTAAAGGCCTAAAAGTAAAGGCCTAATATGAGTTTACAATAGGTGGTAGAACGCACGACTGCTGACGTATTTGGTATTTTGAAAAAAAAAAAAAGAAATAAGCTTATGATTCAAATTTTAAAGCATTGTTTTTATAATAAAAAAAATTCTTTTTGAAATTTACTATGGGACGGCTAGTAAATTATATATTTCACATATTTTGTCCTTCCATTTTTCAACCACACACAACGATCCCTTCCTTGTAAATCACGTGCTTATTCTGTTATTATTCACTGCACAAAACACAATATTTATTTCACTATCTTCATTCACAGATCTATGTTTTGATTTTGCAGGAACAAAGCGAGACGACCGCTAATCAAATTTAAATATTTTAAAAATATAAGTTATTTCCCTTGTTAGGTAATTTTGTTATCTTCCCCGAGGAATGCTTTAAGTTAGAATCATACAAATCATTGGAACGTCTAACTCACATGTAAAACTACGATATAGGAGTTTGCCTAGACGAGCCTACCAATCTTCAAGCTAAACTAAAATAGGGGGAAAACTGCATCGGCTTTTTATAGCTAGAATGTACTGAACGAACCTCCTCCTATCCCCATGGTAACCGTTATCACCAACATTTATCTTAAAACAACAACGGAAGAAAATTATCAAGTCGGAATTTTTTTTTGTCTCACCATCGGGTGCAGTAAAGCCACGTAACATGTCTGTAGCAGACGTGGAACTAACAAGTGTAGTAGACCTGTCCCCAGGGCGTGTTTCGTCTTCATTTCTAGATTAGCGCGCGCTGATGACCACATCGCTAGCAGCTGTGAGCGGTCAATCGGCGTCAGGGGAGTTGTACGGTGATGCAACCAGAGGCTGGAGTAGATCGCGAGTTTCTCTACACCACAGTAGATCGTGAGTTTTTCTACACCACAGTAGAGTTTTTCTACACCACAGTAGAGTTTTTCTACACCACAGTAGAGTTTCTCTACACCACAGTAAAGTTTCTCTACACCACAGTAGAGTTTCTCTACACCACAGTAGAGTTTCTCCACACCACAGTAGAGTTTCTCCATACCACAGTAGAGTTTCTCTACACCACAGTAGAGTTTCTCTACACCACAGTAGAGTTTCTCTACACCACAGTAGAGTTTCTCTACACCACAGTAGAGTTTCTCTACACCACAGTAGAGTTTTTCTACACCACAGTAGAGTTTTTCTACACCACAGTAGAGTTTCTCTACACTACAGTAGAGTTTCTCTACACCACAGTAGAGTTTCTCTACACCACAGTAGAGTTTCTCTACACCACAGTAGAGTTTCTCTACACCACAGTAGAGTTTCTCTACACCACAGTAGAGTTTCTCTACACCACAGTAGAGTTTCTCTACACCACAGTAGAGTTTCTCTACACCACAGTAGAGTTTCTCTACACCACAGTAGTTTCTCTACACCACAGTAAAGTTTCTCTACACCACAACCACAGTAGAGTTTCTCTACACCACAGTAGAGTTTCTCTACACCACAGTAGAGTTTCTCTACACCACAGTAGAGTTTCTCTACACCACAGTAGAGTTTCTCTACACCACAGTAGAGTTTCTCTACACCACAGTAGAGTTTCCCTACACCACAGTAGAGTTTCTCTACACCACAGTAGAGTTTCTCTACACCACAACCACAGTTGAGTTTCTCTACACCACAACCACAGTTGAGTTTCTCTACACCACAGTAGAGTTTCTCTACACCACAGTAGAGTTTCTCTACACCACAGTAGAGTTTCTCTACACCACAGTAGAGTTTCTCTACACCACAGTAGAGTTTCTCTACACCATAGTAGAGTTTCTCTACACCACAGTTGAGTTTCTCTACACCACAGTAGAGTTTCTCTACACCACTAACTATATACAACATCTGCTCTCAGCCCAAATAACAACCTTAAGACACAAAATACTAACCAAAAATGGTTATAAAACTTTCCTAGTATCAGCAAAAGCAACAAACCATTTAACTCAAGCCAGACTTACATCTCAATTAGCAAACAACAATTGTTTTCAGGGATTGTTTGGATGTTTTATTACTGTGTCTTGTTTTTACTACTGTATCTTGTTTTAAAACATCACATGCTTCTGCTACTCAACAGACCTTTACATAACACCCAACAGACGTGCAAAAACTTAACTGGTTTAACTAAAAATAATCAGGGGTATGAGCAAAGGTCACGTGATTTTGTTTTTCAATACAAAAGGGCGGTACCTTCATACAGGTCACATGATCACAATTCTGGCTTCTATTTTGAATAAGGAACACATCGATACATAATGTTCCCCGGTGTGTTGGCTAGTTCCTTTGTGCGGATGTTTTTTTTTTACTGCTGTTGGTACATTTAATAAAGATTCACCGTGGCTGAGCACGGGTATGCAGCTAGTATTGTAAATATCGCTATTACATAAAAACTATATATTTGATTTTTTAATGTATTTTGTTAATGCAAAATAAGAATCAAATATTGGGGTTGTTTGTCTAATGTGAAAGCAATGGTGTTTAGTTTTACAGATTGATAGAAAAATTGTGTGTTGTGAGTTTACGCGTAGGACGCAACACGAAAGTTTACACATGAATACACGGGGGTAAAGGTCAAGGATCTGCAACACACGCTACACGTGATAGATGTTACAAAACTCTGGAACACGTTGTATTCGGAACTCTCGAAGCCTTAGCGGGTTTTGTTGGTTTCTTAATAAATACATTTTATGGCACTTAATTCAACATTCTTTTTTTTTGTTTTTACCATTCAAAGTCTAAGTCACCGTCAAGTTCAAGGCCGTCTCCCCAGTCATCCATATCGTCAGACATGGCGAACATGAGAAGTCCCAAATTCGTGGCGGCCGCATCTTGAGCCGCCGGGGGAAGTAACCGGGGCGGTCTGGCGATAGGAAGGGCCGAGTACGGATTGCCTCCCCTGCTGATGATCGTCCTCCTCGGCTGGTTGAAATTGTTGCCCAGCACAGACGCGAACATCAGCGCCGCCGTGTTCCCGTCGTCGCCAAGGTCACCAAGGCCGTCGGTCAGGGATCCCAGGCCCTCGGTCAGGTCTTCCCCCAACTCTGCCACGCCCTCGCCAAGCTCGCCCATCTGTTCACCCAAAGCCTCGCCGACTTCGCTGACGCCTTCGCCGATCTCCCCGAGGCCTTCGCCAATGTCGCCGATATCCGGGTCAAGGTCGACGTCTCCGGCGATATCGCCGGCCTTGTCCAGCAGGTCGGCGGCGGCGTCCTTGATGTCCCCGGCAGCATCCTGGATCCCGTCCCCGATGTCTCCAAGATCCGGTGCGTCGATGACGTCAGTGATCCCATCGAGCACATCGCTGACGCCGTCACCCAAATCGGCCACACCGTCGCCGATGACGTCACCAACGTCAGCCACGGCGTCGCCCACGTCGGCCACAACGTCACCAGCGTCGTCGATGACGTCACCGATGCTCCCTGCCGCGTCTTTCACGGTATCCGCTACGTCTGAAACCACATCCTTGACCTTGTCGCTCTAAGGAATAGAAAAAAAAAACAATGATTCTTTCTCGTTTAAAATAAGACAAGCAATGCGTCTACTACATTTACAGTAAACACAGACATTTATAAATGCCTCATACAGAACAATTTGTAAGAAATTTTCTTTAAATAGGGCTGGTAAGTAGGTCACCGACACGTTCTACGGCTCAATAAAACCTGCATGAGCCATAGAACTGGTTGGTGACCTACTTACCAGCCCTATTACTTACCGAAGCCACCAGTGCAGGGACCACAAAATTGGCTGCCGAGTCCAAAGTTTTTTCTGGCCACTTCACGCCACTGACCGCTGACTTGCTGTCACTGCTGACCTGCAACATCGGTCAAAGAGGTTGGAGTTGTGTGTAGGTTGTGTGTAGGTTGTGTGTAGGTTGTGTGTAGGCTGTGTGTAGGTTGTGTGTAGGTCGTAGCTTAACACAAAACTAAGGTAGAGTTATAGACCTTATACGTGAGGGGTTAAGTCTAAGATTATCTGTTGGTTGTTGCTGTTTCATAACACAAAACTAAGGTAGACCTTAGATATAAGGGGTTAAATTTGTCTGTAAACAAGGGTACAGTTAAATACCTTAGATATAAGGGAGTTAAGATTGTCTGTAAACAAAGGTGTAGTTATTGAACTCAGATGTGGAATTGTGTGTAAGTTGTTAGAGTTTCATTACACGAAACAACAGTTATAGTGAAAGGTTCCCAGAAAAAAAAAGCGCAAACGGGAAAATGCGCCAACAGAAAAATGCGCAAATACAAACAAACCATACTAACACTGTCATTTTTTTTTGGTCATATTTCGCGGTAAAGTGTTTTATTGTGTTACAATGTACAAGTAGTCGTTCTTTGCAAACGTCTATATAAATGATCTATTTAAATATAATAAATTCTCTTTTGTCTAATTATTTGTTCAATAATAAATATTTCTCTCAGAGTGGCTTTGTTTAAGTATGAACCATTGTTGTCAGTAAATAATCTACTGGCCAAATGTTGCTATAAATGTGTCATTTCTGTAAAAAACAGTATCGCAATAAAACAAATGTGTTGCAAATAAATAATGATAACACATGTTACAAGATATAATCTGATGGGAGAAGACACCGATTGTAAAGGGTAAATGAACAGGAAACAATGAACGCGTAATCAGTGGCGTAGCCAGGATCGTCTCAAGGGGGGGGGGGGGGGGGGGGGGTCCAATTTTTACCCGGGGACAAACTTTCGATTTGCACCCCCCCCCCCCTCAAACTTTCGATTTGCACCCCCCCCCTCAAACTTTCGATTTGCACCCCCCCCCTTAAACTTTCGATTTGCACCCCCCCCCCCTCTCATACTTTTTATATATACCGAGGGGTCTATGGGGGGGGGGGTTTATGACCCCCCCCTAACCCCCCTGCCTACGCCACTGCGCGTAATGTCATATTTTCTAGACTCTATTCATATCGAATATTTAAACCTACGACACGGTACGATATAGTGTATAGTGTTTTCTAATCCGTTCTGTTAAATTACAGTGTACTAATCAACCCGCTTGTAACAGCTGATTTATTTAATTAGTATTCAATAGAAAATCTTACGTGGGTAAGCCAGTTTAATTAGTTTACATGTGTACATGCATACCTGGAGTTTTTAATTTGTTTTTTTTTTAAGTGGCGAAGATATGCCTCGAGTGTTGAGGGCATGCCTAAGTATATTTAGTGATGGATATCATGAGTGTTGAGGGCATGTCTTCGTATATTTAGTGATGGATATCATGTAATGAGTGTTGAGGGCATGTCTCCGTATATTAAGTGATGGATATCATATAATGAGTGTTGAGGGCATGTCTCCGTATATTTAGTGATGGATATCATATAAAGAGTGTTGAGGGCATGTCTCCGTATATTTAGTAATGGACAGTGCCGGCGCCAGGTTATTTGGCGCCCTAGGCAAAACTTATTAAAACGCCCCCTTCTTTCACACAAATTAATTACTAAAACATATGTATAAGAAAACAATTAATTAAAAGTGACATTAATTGATTATCAATTGCATACACGTTATAAGGAGACATCAAAATCAAATTTTACTTGCCTCCTTCGTAGCAAAAGTTCGTACTAATACCTTCAATTCCAGTTTGCAAGCCTAATCACATTCTATTGAAATTGTTGCTAAGTCCACGAGTCTACTTTGTACGTTACGACAAAGCCCCCCCCCCCCCACTAGAAAATTTCAAGAGCCCCCCCCCTCCCCCTCCCGGGAGAAAAAAAGTCTGAAAAAAACTCTTTAAAAAACAACACAGTTCTTGTAGTGTTGGGCTCTCTGCAGACCTCCCAAGGTGAGTTCCAGAACGGAAAATGACCTGTTTTAAGCTTGACTGTCTTTAGTTATAAATCTAAAATATCTATATTGTGTGATTATGCAACGATTTTTTTTTTTTTTAAAATAAAAGGTTATAAATGTTATAGATTCCAGCCTACAATTGTTATATATGAATCCTTTAGGAGAAGGTAAAAAATATGAAAAAGACACTAAATTAATTTGATGATTAATTTGCGACTTACTGCAACAAATGCGTCTAAAATCTCATACTGTATGTCTACTAACAGTAACTGTTGCAATCTACAACGGCTACTGGTGTATTTGTTTTTCAACTTGATAATGCTAAAAAAAAAACTACCAAAATATGTTGTTTAGAACTTCTGCTCTATATAATTTTTACAATAGCAAATAATAACTAAAAGTTGTACTTATAAGTAAGCGGTCAACCTAAGGTGCAGGAATTTGAAATGAATTGTGAAGTTAAGCAACGAATTATCTCCCATTTGAAAATACAAATAAAATCTTATTCAAGGGAAATAGCTTTCATTAGAATAGCTAAATTAGCCAAGTGTAACTATGACATCCTTGAAAAACACAATAAAACGTTCTAAATTTCATCACGTAATAATTCTAATAAATCTTGTATATTATCTATGTAACCGTGTTAAAAGAATATATTTTACTAATTGACTACTTAACTGTAGGGTTTGTTTAAAAGTCTGAACACGGTAGCTTTATGATAACATACTTCCAATCAATTTTGAGGACATACATTAAATGTAGTCTATATAGTATTCCTCAAACAAAAAATTTTGGATCCCCTAAATAAAGGGACGTATTTCAAAATATTCAAATATGGGTAACTCAGGAGTCGGCAACCTCCGCATTCGGCTCTTTTGGTGTCCAGTTGCGGCTCATTAGCTCCATGCACAAATATTAATAACGAGCCGACCCGCGGCATATCATACGCCGCTATTTAGTTGTTGTTTTTTCTACTTTTCAGTTATTCATAATTTGTGAATTCGACACTACCAACGCTGCCACTGAAAATCTATCTATAATTTAGTTTGAAACGATTTTAAACTTAGAGGAGGTAACTAAGAGGGGGGGGGGTGTTAGTGTTTTTAAGCAAATATTTTCAATGGCAGCATTGGTACTGTCGATTTCACAAATTATAAATTACTAAAAAGTAGAAAAAAACAACTAAATAGCGGCGTATGATACGCAGCGGGTCGGCTCGTATATATAATTCTCTTCTGGGATCAGTTAGAAAACAAGCTGCAATCGCGCCTTTGCAGTCCCCTCTCTTCCTCTCTATCAATATCACTACCACCCCCACCCCACCCCCACATGATCTGGTGAGCGGTGTTCACTCTGTTTACATTTTACAATCATAGAGACGGGTTTGGTGACGGCTATTAGGGGCAGATAATTTAGTTTGAAACTATTTTAAACTTAGAGGAGGTAACTAAGAGGAGGCTGCTTTCACGTGGGGGGGGGGGGGGGGGGGGGGTTAGTGTTTTTATGCAAATATTTTCAATGGCAGCATTGGTACTATCGAATTCACAAATTATAAATTACTGAAAAGTAGAATAAAAAACAACTAAATAGCGGCGTATGGTACGCAGCGGGTCGGCTCGTATTTCTGTAAAACACTATAAGTGGCTCGTTAAGGACGATAACCACCCCCCCCCCCCTCCGTTAAAGTAAACTTCACTTAGGTGTTACCCCCCCCCCCCCTACGTTTAAAATCGTTTCAAACTAAATTATCTGCCCCTAATAGTCGTCACTAAACCCGGCTCTGTTTGTAAACATTTAGAGTGAACCACAGCACACCAGACCGTGTAGGGGTGGGGGTGGTAGGGAACGTGTTTACAGCTTGTTTTCTAGCGTCTCCCAGAAGAGAATTATATATATATATATATATATATATATATATATATATATATATATATATATATATATATATATATATATATATATATATATATATATATATATATATATATATAGATTATTTTATTTTATTTTCATAACTCATAAAAATATTAGTCTGCAACACTCGCTAATAAACGATATAACAATAGATATAAACAATAAACATTTTTTATATTATAATATTTAGTTTCTCCCTATCTTAATGTACTTCCTATTACATTGTCCATTCCGAATAGAAACATTCAACTTCATAGTGGATATCACAAATAAACTAAACCAGCTAATAATTAGTGTAAAACTGAAAGGAAAACCCAGCCTATGTCTTGCTTGAAGAGATGGTTTGTTTTGAAAAAAAAAAACTTTTTTGTTGAATACTTGGTGAGCGGTAAATTACTAAATTACGAAAAATCTGAAAAAATATCGTTATGAAACCAATGCTACTATGCAATCACTTCAGCATTAATATAAACAAAATGAAGGATGTTTTCACTGAGAGATTTGAGAAATTCAAAACAAATGCTAGTACTCTGACTTACATAGTAGATCCTCTCAACACAAATTCAAATGAGATCTATATATATAAAGCAAAGTGGTCGGGTGCCCGATAGGGCACTTCCCGGCGCCGCAGGCGCGTCAAATTTGGCACTAAGGTGCCTTATGGCGATAGAACACGAGGGCCGGTGACGGTTCGGCAAAAAGTCTACGGAGCGGGGGTCAAAACTGACCTCGACTGACCGGCGCCTTATATGGGCTATATTACGAAAAAAAAATCCCTCCGACGACCCCCCTTGAAATTTTGTGAGGTGGTAGGAGAACACCTTGGGGTGTCACAAAAAACTCGGCATATCTTGGAAAACTTCGTAAAAGGGTCAAAACTGACCAGTTGTATTTCCCTATATAATCTTTGTATTTTATGGGAAAAACAGAGGGTCATTTCAACGCAGACTTTAGGGTACTTAAGCTCAGTATATCTGGCTAATTTTTTGCATGCTCCTAGGTCAATGGCTTGACCTTTAGGGAAAACTGTCGGTTACACTCAAAGCCCTCGACGAGGGCTAAAAAGTGACCGCGAGTGAAATTCTCATTATAT